TTTGATTGATGGAGAAATTAATTTAAAGGTACCATGCAAGGGGAAAAAAAAACATTTAAAGGGAAACGGACCCACCATCGATTATTGTTATTCGTTTAATTATAAATACAGTTGAGAGAATGCTGCTCGCTGCACTCTTAGGTACAGTTTCCCTCTTAGATCCAGTTAGAATCTCCCATATCTGTCAACATGCCAGAAATCCTATTCACAAAGAAACTCTCAAAAACTGACATTGAATATAGAATGGCAGTCCCGATGAAAAGCCTCGACGCTTTCCAAATCCCAGAAGGAAAACACTCTAAAGAATTTGGTGTCACTGACATCCATGGCAAGAGGTGGAGGTTCCGATGTTGTACAAGAAAAACCGACCCCTACCCTAAACCAGTCCTGTCATCAGGTTGGATAGAGTTCGCCAAAACAAGAAGTCTCAAAGTAGGAGATGAAGTCACCTTCTCTGTGGTGGGCATGAAGAGAGCTGAGGATCTGGAATTGGGAATTCAAGCTCGGAAAAAAATCAAGTTATTCGGCAAAGTTTTGTGGAGTGATCCTCTGTGAAGAAGAAGAAAAAGAGGCTACTACTCGCATAAATATATAGGGGTTGATCGATGTAGCTTTATCTTCTATCTTACTCTTCTTTCTTTCTTGCTTGTTTTTTCTTTTTTTCTCCTGGGAAGGAGGGCTAGCTTGGGGGGTGTTTGATGCTTAAAATGTTTATCCTAGAACTCAGAATCATGTGAGTAAAAGAGTGAATCTTACTTACCTTAAATGATTTTACTTGTAACCAAATATATATAATATATCCTTACAAGAAATGTTTCATGCTTTTTCTTAAATCATAAATTAAAAAGAAATTGGTTATAACATGGTTAACGAACACAGACACGACAGAAAATAAACAGGTGTATTTTTTACATTAGATTCTTTTTCTTCTTTCTTACATGTTTTTTTACCAGTCACAAAATACTCTTATTATTTTGATTTTCCATTGGTTTTATGAAATTCTCTCAACAATTGAACAAAAAGCACTACACCATAGCTCACAAACATATATTTTATAAGTCAATTAAACCTCTTGTTTTTCTTATGTTTCTTGTTTATTGTGATCTCTGCAAAGTGACAGCCGACAAAGGAATCTGTTGATAGGCCCAATTCTGCTTTATTTTTTGTTTCTTGCTGAGCAAATGAAGGTCTTGCGTTTCTCTTTCTTTCTTTTTTTCCCTTATTAAAAAGGCCATGCGGCCATAGACAGTTGCAGAAAAAGATCCATATCACTTATTTGGTAAGTGCACGTACTTATCAGCATAGTTATATACCAAACCTAGGGTTTACCTGGCCGAAAAAATAGGTTTTGGATTACACTAATTGATATAAGTTAATATAAAAAAATTAAAAATATATTTAAAATTTTAATAATTTATATAAAAAAATTTAAAAATAATTATGTGAATATAAACTATTTATATTATAAATAAAAAAATTTAAAAAACATATTATATTAGTATTTTATCTTTAATTTTAAATTAAAAAAATTTTTTATTCCACGATAAAAAAATATAATTTCTTTCTTGTAAATATAAAATATATATATTAAAAGGTTTCAAATCTCATATTAAAAATATAAAATATTTTTTTAATATTTATACAATGAACTTTTAAAAAGTGTTAATAACCACCTAAAAAAAATCTTTGATTAATATAAAAAATATATTTGAAAAAAAAAAGTTTTAATAAATTTTTATCGGGTTACTTATATCACGGGTTAACTTGATTTTTCTAAGTTTTTGTTTATTTTAATTTTTTAATTTACACGACCAATTCTATCACCAAATTAACCAATTCTTAGAATCAACTCCGTCACTAAATCCGTATGGATTTAATAAATATGCTTATCAGATTACCCAAAACCACCACCCATTGTAAATTAACATCGACAGCAGTAAAATTAAGAGTTACCGTGACTTTCCATCATGTATCATTATAAATTAAGTATCAACAACGATTAAGATTAATTGTTTTACCAAGATTCTCAACCATTGATTTTTTTTTTAATCTTTGATTAATATCTTATGATATATTCATCTTTTGCCTACCTTAATTATATCTCTTTTTTATTTTTTTTAATTATTATCTACAAGCTTTCTCTTACAAAACCATGCATCATCTTCATTTTGAAAGAAAATATTTAATAAAATTAGCCGTACTTTTCTTGTCGACATATATATATATATATATATATATATATATATATATATATATAAAGGATACAATCATCCTTGAAAAAATCACCGAACAAAAGGGACGA